GACTGCGCCCCATTTCACATACCTGAGCCCCTCCGATGTTGTACCATAAAAAGTGCAGTTGAATGAACATTTACCAGAAAATCTTGCTCCAAAGCTTTTCTTATAGATTCGCTTACTATGCTCTTGACGGCATCATCAATCTCCTTCGCAGACTTTTGTTTCATACACTTCTTGATATCAGTACCACATTTTAGTACCTGAAACGTCGTAACAACAATAAATATGGCCTAATTTTGATAATGAGATATAAGTTAATTACTTATCTTAGCCAATTCTAAAGAGTTGTTTGCTACACCTGCTCCTATTGCCCAAGATCCATAAGGAGAGCCCGACATCTCGATGGATTGAGCGATGTAATCTGAAAAATATTAAAAACTGTTAAAATACGAAAAACATATATTATAACAAAATATTGCAAATGTAATGAACCTTAGCGCGTCAAACTTGACCTTCGCCTACCTCGACTTTTAGGGCTTAGAATGAGTTGACCAGCAGCCGCGGAACCTGCACTATGACCCCATACTGTAATGCGTAACGGATCTCCACCAATGTGTTTTGCATTTTTATGTACAAACTGCAAAAAAACAATAGCATGTAATTTATTGCTGTAGCGTCAAAAATTACCTTCAAAGCTTCGGTCATGTCGTATAGTCCTAAATTCCCAGGCATGCGTTTATCCCCGGTGGAAAAGAATCCTTAACTAGTTTTTTGAAATGGAATTTCTGCTAAACAAAAGTTATCAAAGCAGAAAGCTCGGTCGAGCAAATTTAGCAAAGAGAGTATCGTATGGGGTCTAAGGTAAAGCCTGAAGTTCTTTCGAAATTCTTTCTCATCAAGATGTTGAAGCTCTTCTCACTTTTCTAGCAGAGTGGTTCAAGCATGCGGCCTAAGTAATTTTTTCTTATTTAGTTCTCATTACAGTAATTCCACAGACACTCTATGACCGTTCAGAAACCTTCTTCAGTACAGAATCGATGTTCGCTCTAATGCGAGCGTTTGCATGGGGAAAAAAACGAATTTCAAAATACATATAGACCTGTTTTTCTAAGCGAATAAGCAATGAACAGGCACCAAAGTTGGCACATAGATGCGCAATAGAGAGTAGAGGAAGTGTTTGTAAAATCTTTGAAAATTTATGGGAATGAAAAATCGCTGTACCTTTTTGTGATTTAGGTCTCCGGGGGGAACCTACGAAAGACCTCAGTTCTATTAGCAAGTACTTTTTTGTTTCTCATAATTTTGCTTTCCTTATATCAAACACTTTTTGTGCACCCCTTGGCCCATAGCGCAATAACCACATCAGTGCATTCCTCTCTTCCTTACTGAAGCCGTAAACATTTTCCCTTGGTGAAGAAAACCGGCTCTAAGTAAACAGCACTACAGTGCCTATCTTGTTTGCATTTACATAGATTACTAAAGGAGCTTCGAATTTTCCTAGATCAAGTGTGTATTTCTTCTGGTGAGGTTAAAAAGAAGACCTCGTGCCGAGGCCTGTGCCTACGCATGATGTAGTTCGGAAGTTATTAAATCAGTGAAATTTAATAAATTAGATTCAATGAAAAGATTCTCTATAAATTCATATCTAAATAGAATAGAACTCATATCTAAACAAAACAGAGCACTGACAATTAGTCACGCAAAATTTCAGCTATTTATCTGGCAACCAAAACAAGTATTCTTTTATGATTCTT